CCCCACGTTCTAGTTGAGATGGTATAACCCAAGAGGCAAAATGACGCTTGCTACTGTTGTTGCGAGTTGCCATTCGTTCTACTAAACCATTAGTCAAACGCCATCATGCCTTCTGTCGTTATTACACAAACAAAAATCTCTTTACTGTTACTAGTGTTAGTGCCTCAATATGGCTACGCTCGTGAAAGCAATACAACGAACTCAAACGCGTCTTCGTTCAATGTTGTCAACAAATATCCGGATTATGCAAATTTTCCTCAATTCTCCGGAGAAATTTTCATAAAAATTTGAAAAACCCGGAATTCCGGGAAAATCCGGAGGACTTTCATCTCTGTATGAAGGAGTTTATGAATGCGCTATTGGCATAATTGCGATATTTAGCATGGACCTAAAGAAATTACATTTTTATTTTCGAATGAATGAAGTGCATGTTTTCATGCGGCAAAATAAGCAGGCTTTATTCTTATGGAATTAATTGTAATGACTTAGAATTATTTATTCATTCATCCATTTTCTAATCCAATTATCCTCACAAGGGTCGCGGGCATCCTGGAGCCTATCCCAGCTGTCTTCGGGCAGCCGGCGGTGTACACCCTGAACTAGTTGCAGGCCAATCGCAGGGCACACATAGACAGACAACCAAACCTTCACGCTCACAATCACACCTAGGGACAATTTAGAGTGTTCGATCAGCCTGCCATGCATGTTTTTGGAAAGTGACAGGAAACCGGAGCACCCGGAGAAAACGCACGCAGGCACAGGGAGAACATAGAAACTCGACACCCTGCACCTTCTGCACTGTGAGACGGACATGCTACTTAATCGACCACCGTCCCGCCTTATTTATTTATACAGTCAAACCTTGGTTTTCAAACGTCTCGGTTCTCGACCAATTCGGTTTTCGACCAAAAATTTCTAATTTTTTATGCCTCGGATGACGAACAAATTTCGGTTCTCGAACAAACTGAGCGCACTTGAATGCACCACTTGACTCCTCTCGCCTTCCTTACACGAGGAAGTGACGCTTCCTCGTGTCGCTTTCCATTGTGAGCAGACGTGTTCAACAAACTTTTTTTTTTAAAAAAGAGCGTGGTTTCGGTTTTCGAACAATTTCGGTTTTCGAACAGCCTTCTGGAACGGATTATGGACGAAAACCGAGGTTTGACTGTATATAAATATATTTCATTTTGTGTTAATAACGCTCCTAGATACTGTTTACTTATTGGAAGGTGATGGAAATTAAAGGTTGCATGTGATTGGTCAATGTCATCAGAAAAACAAACATACAATTCCATATAAAAGTATTAATTTATCAAAGCTTTTTGTGATACACATATAGTACATGCCATTGTCGCAATTTTTAGCAATATATTATGCAGCCCTACAGGGTACAGCGTCACTTTACAATTAAGTTATACCTGTAGATGAATGAGATGAGAACTAGAGTAATTGTTTCAGAAGCATTCGAGGAAGCTTTGCTTTAGCGTTAGGGTGTAAGGCATCGCAAGTCGGACTCATTAAATTACACTAAACGTGCATTTTTATCAGATATGGGAGATTTTACGCATTTGCATTAATTTCATTACTATGAGGCTGTAACCTTAATTCTAAGAATTCTTGTACACAAAGCATGCGTAAGCATGTCGATATGTAATACAGGCAACATACTGTATACATCCAGTTACAAATTGACATTGTGTCTGCTCATAATTTTCAAAACCAGATGGTTGCCTCACCTGACATCCGTGGGAGGATTTTGGGAAAAGGGGTTATGCGAGCAGGCCAGAATCTGGACAATAGCCCCAGGGTAATAAGTCTCAAGCACCTCCACAGCTGTAGGATAAACAGGCTCTTCAAATCCCAGCTCAATATAATCCTGGCTGTAGAAACTTTTAGGTGTGCGTCGGAAACGTGGTGAAGCGCTGGCACATTGTTCCCACCAAGTTCCATAAGTTCTGAACACCGCAGTCTGTGTAAAGTCTCCAGAGCTGGGGTAGACATTAGGTACACCAGCCAGGTTCCACATCGTGTAGGACATACTATTCTCGCTGCCATAATGAGAGCTGAAGTCCAAAACCTCTTTGGTGTACTGCTCCACCTCCACACTGACGGGCAATATCGCCCGTTGGCCAGACTCCACTGCTCGCCGACTGGTCAGTGCCTCACCACGAGTCCCACTCCTGGAGCGTCGCCGCAGACAGATATAGTAAAACATGCTCAACAGAGTTAACATAGGGAACTCTAGGCTGTTGGAGGCAGTGGGGAAGAATGGAGACTAGATGAAGGAAGAGCCTGCACCTACTAGAAGCACAATTGCTCTAGGGTGATTTGTACAAAAGTGCAGGTTAGAGGCCTGGCCGCATGCATGACCTGTAGGTTAGAGACAAACATTCATGAGTGAGAAATACCAACACAGAATATTTCCTGACTGAATCAATGAATACACATGTCTAAAATGGTATCTTTTATTTTACCTATTCATGTATCGACTAGAAAAGGACTCTGTCTCTATGAATAAATGCTCATCTGCTCTTTTCTATTGTTCCAAGTGTAGGAATAGCAATGCGTATGAGACTTTCAGCTCGTGTTTAATATTGCATTAATTACTGTAATGGCTTTTGGTTGTAGCTTAGATGGGGAAAACACAAGTATACATTTGGTGACACTGAGTTCAATCAATAGCTGCCCCATAGAGTAAAACTATATACTGTATTGTTAAATACGGTTAATACAACCTGAGCTGAACTAAAATAACCTAAAACAAGATTCTGGTGGTCATATATTTGCAAAAATGCTTGCTTGTTTCAGTGGAAGGTTGTTAGATAACAAACTGAGACGAACGGGCAATGCAAATGCACTAATGATAGTTTTGCTAGTGATATATACTACAACATTGCAGTTTGCTGTTCGATTTGGCATGCAAAGTCACCACAAGGCATCGTCATCCATCGCAGTTTTATCGACATGGTCTATGTGTAACAAACTAAAATGTAAAATAGTTATCATGTAAAAGTTATAAAAGTGTTTCGGTACAAACTGATGTTTGCCAGTGAAGTTACAAGCATTAGGAATGATTGCGTTAGCGTTTACGTGACAAGTCTTGTTAAAACAGCTGATGTTAGTTTTAGGGTTAGCTAGCTAGCCTACAGAGTCTGGTTAGCTCACCTTTCAAAACATGGGCAGTTAGCCAACAACCAGACAGAGAAGAAAACACATGGGAAAAGTACTGCTGAATGTAGATGGATGCATACATTCATTTAGGTGGGTACAGTAATTCTATTTCCATTCTCAAAATACATCAACAGCTTGCAGGACCCACAATCGGGACGTTACCTTATGATGCCTTCCATCACGGAGGAGTTGCACACACACCAAGCGCCAATTAAAACGGCAACATATACAGTACGACGGAAAACGATACCGGGATGTGTAAAATTCACTGATACTAGATCATTTGCATATTTGATACGCAGATTCACTCATAAACCATATCGTATCAGGAAAGTACTTGTTCTGCACTACACAAGGGTATCGATTCAAAACATGTTGTAATACGTCAGCATACGTGTAACATTAGATTAACATGCTGTATAATCAGTAAAAAGTAAAGTATCACCCAAAACGGCAGGAAGCTACATAGTATCGATGACAGTACAGTAACGAGTTCGACAAAACATAAGATCAACATCCGGTCGGTGAAAGAAAAGCATTCTGGGAGTGGGAGTTCTTTTCTTTCGTTTATTACTTTGCAGACATTAAAATCAATATTTAAAAAAAGATACAATGATGTGAATCTGGCTTGATATTAATACTGCTATTTTTGATGTCTTCAAGCAAGTGAATTTAACATCAAGTAGATTTGAATTAGTAAAGGGAAGAAAGGATTATCAGCACCAAGCCTTAGTACTGTTACAATAGCAATTGAAAATAGCACATACTGTAGTTTTGAAAAAAATCCAAATATTCACACTGTGCACAATGAGTATTATATATTACACTCTACATTGCATAACATGTATGCATTAGGAAAGGCATATGGTGTAATATCAGTTCTACATAAATGATGCAAATGGCTTTCTCTGGCAACCTGCAGGGGTAGAGCCAAAAGTCAACTACTGTACTGCTACAGTGCTAGACTAAAATGCCCCACTCACAGTACTGTCATCTAAGAAGCGATTTTCACTGTTGTTTTCCCTCCATCATTGTACTTTGAGTAAGGTGAAAGATGAAGGGGGCTTGAAATCAACCTGGGAATTTGCTTCAAAGGTAGACAGAAGTCCACCAATTGTAACTGGAGTGTGAGTATTTTAAAATGGCGTACCCAGGATCACTGTCAACGCCCCTTTGTATTCAAGTAAACGTTGCGTTAAAGTCACCATGCATTTATTTTAAACAGGCAAGCTGCAACTACTGTGTGACACGGCAATAACCCACTTCGAGGATTTGTGTCCCAAAGGCAAAGTGTGCATTGTGTAAATGTCAGAAGTCTATGATCTTAATCTGTGCTCTCTGACAAAGAGCATTTTCACATAATTTGAGACGTTACTGAGGACGCTCTGCATCGCTGTAGTCACTTCCTGACTAATGTTGTCTCTCTCTTTGCTTGAAGGAAGTAACTGAGCTGATGCTAAAGCAACAGTTTCTTCGCTGGCAATTGAGTCTTTTTCCTCGGTTGGCTCCTGAATCAGGTTGTCATCATCTGGCACAGAAGCCGTCTCCAAAGACAGGTCCGCAGATGGTGAAGACGGAAAGGATGCAAAAAGAACAAAGAGTGTACCAATTTCCTCAACCGTGACATCTGTGATGGTCTTTAAGAACCTTGGTTGAAAGCTGTGAATGCTCTCCACCAGGTCGTGTGCAGTGAAAGCCTGTCTCACTTTTTCATGGATAGACAGGACTAAATTGTCTCTTATGGAGTAAGAGAATTGGAGTTGGACACAGGACAGTTTCTGGGAGATGCGGTCCAACACAGCCTGTGTCACTCCGACAGCCATTTTGCTGAGGTACTTGGATGGCATGGCAAAGGGGGTGGTTGGTGGAGGCAACCAAAAGATCTGCAGAACTTTTGGAAGAACCTTTATCACCATCGCACGTGGGTTGAGTAGATCAGCATAGGTTGCCTTCTGCTGCTCCAAGCTCCCAGCAAACTGCCGAGCTTTGCGGAGGATCATAGTGTGTCTGGAGTTTATGAATAATGAAAGCATATATTGATGCACGTGTTTGATAAATATTGCATGCAGACATAATTAATATCATACTTTAGCTGATAATAAATGTGCATCAAGGCTGACTCACTTTAAGTGGGAAGGGATCATCTCAGGAGAGTCAAGGAGCCTTCTGGCTTCAAATTCAATGTCTCTCATCTTCATGCTGGTGTTCACCTCAAAAACCTATCACAACAAGATGCAATGAGCAGCGCTGACATCATGTATAGGATTTATGCAAGTTTGGATCACCAGTATTATTAAATAAAGCCATAAACAAATAGAACAAACTCCCCACTGTACTGAAGGACATCAGAAATTATAGAACCTTCTCCACAGAAACCTGACCTTCAGAAGACAAAAATTGTCCGCCTCAACTTCTTCTAACTAGATGTAAGTGACACAATTCATGTAGGTATGAATCCATGATGCTCTTTTAGCTTCATTTTTTTTAGTTTATTTGACCGGTACTGCAAATGAACATTTGCTACAAATCTTGGAGAAGCATCTCTAATCTCAAATTGAATGTTTTCTGACAAATAAACTAAACTATGTGCGGCAAACAAGTGAATGCAAACTGTTGGGAGTCTTCTCTTACCAGCTTGGATTCGGCCTCAAAGCAGTCTTCCACTTCATACTCCCAAAGCCTGCAAATAAACGACAACAAAATACCGGCATCATGCCTTTTCACTCTTCTTCAAGAGAATCATCTTAGAATGAGGAGTGCCAAGTTGCTGGAAGTTTATACTAACTTTACTCGAATTGATTTTTTTGTCTCCTCCACTAGCAGGTCAGCCATTGCATCAGCAGTCACCTCAGATGGGATCAGGTTCTTCTGCTGGAGTACAAAGAGTTCTGCCAATAGTCCGATCTATGAGAGAAAACAAGACCTTATATCTTTCTGATCATTTTTCTTGTTTTTGTAATTTAGTGCAAACTGCTATCTCGCGGGTCTTGCCTGTAGTTTATAAGAGATAGCATTCCAGCAGGTCTCCATTGATTGTTTATATGAGGGAGTGTCAAAAAACTCCTAGAACGGAAAAAAGACATAACTTATTTTAGCACTTAAATAGTTTCAAATATACATCCGAACACACATACCATGAGGGGCCTGTAGATGCCGATGCTACCCTCAATAAAATCCATGTTGGCGTTGTGTCTCAATCGAGGACAGACTAACGTTCTGTTTACTTAACGTGCGCCAAGAAATTTAAATTCCACATGGCAGAGATACTTATAATCGCGTCACAGATTACGTTGTTCTTTGGATGTTGCTAAGCAACCCATTCTGCTGCAGTTTGACAGTTAAACTAAGGCGGAGTTCCTTATCAATTTGAATGTTGATTCAATCACTCTGGCCGGTTCGGGCTTCCGCCGTCGTGCGGCGTCCCGACTGTCCTCGTGACTGTCTGATGAGGAGGAAATTAACGACCATACTTTGAAACAGAATGGCTACAGGTATTTTTGATCAGCTCGCCAAATATTTTCTCTTATGGTTGATAATCAGCAGCAAGGAGTACACTTTTTTGTCGTTAAGTATCGTGAAAAAGTTCGTTGCCTTGGATTAGCAGGCTAGCTTGAACTCAAGTAACAACGTCCACAGAACTGCCAGTTGAAGCAACAACCTTTTACAAAATAGCAATTACAAAACAAAACAAACAGTCCTCCCCGAACATGTCCATTTGTACCCAGACGCGTTCTTGTTACCCTTTTTGAATCGTTGGGGGGTTGGGTGGAAACACAGCAGTCACGAAACGTTACTGCGCTTTGTGTGGTTTCACTTCTCAAAATATCGAAATTTACAGTGCAATTCTGCTTTATTCATAATGACCAATATACTACGAACCAACTTTGTGAGAATAAGCGCATGAGATAATCGATGGATGGATAGCAATGTTGGACTTCTGTTTATTTGATATTACTCATTAAAGTATCTTGTTTGTCTTTTCGGTCTCTTTAAAATATTGTTTCAGTGCTCATCACCTCCCTGCATCCCAGCATATGGGTCTCCAACACTAAACACATGATATCTGAGGGAAAATTTGGATACCTGTGACTTCCCTGCCATTTTCACATGAATGTGGTATTCTTAATTCTTTTATCTGTGGCCGGACTTGACCGAACACAAAATAATTTTTATGTGGGGGGGCTATTCCCGACTGAACATAAAAAATGCCCAGCGTTAATAAGATAAAAGACTGAGATATGTCACTTGGAAGTGTGGATATGTCCCTTCGAAGAGATCAAAGAAAAGTACCTTACAGATCAAAGAAAAGTATACAACAATAGACAACAGCAGGGCTTGTCGACACTTTATTTTCATATTATATATTTCATGTCCATCACCAACTCTTTTATTTTGAAAAATAACATGGTTTTGACAGACATGCATCAGAACACAACTGCCAGCAGCATTTAAACAGCTTCTCACATTAAAAAAAAAAAAAAAACTGGTGTTTTCACAACAAAATCCAAACTCAAAAATTTTGTGGTTGCTTTGTTCTGCATCCTTCATTTCCTTTTGAGGAGATCAGTGTCAAGATATACATTTTTGTGTAAGGGGTTATGTTCGTCCTCAGTTTTTTTAAAAGGTTCTCTGAAAAGCACTTATAACATAGAAATGTGAGATTTTCAAAGGCTGTTTTCGAAGAACACACATTCATTATTGTTTATTGACTCCTGCAAAAGTGGGTGGCGACAATTGAAAAAATGTCGGTCCAGTGAGCTGACAACTACTGTTACACACGCATATTGTTGGGACGATTCAGCTGCTCATTGCTTGCGCACACACAGAGTTGCACACCTACCTACACATTCAAAATCACCTGATAAATAATGGGAACCTCAGCTTGTCTGCTTTTGCTTTGATTTGAGATACAGAGCGGCTTGTTTAGTTTAGTCTTTGGCGTAAACTAGTCCTTTTATGTTAAAACCACATGACCAACTTTTGGTCTTCCACTGTGGAGGTGAAATAATAAATACCATGTCAAAATAAGTTATGACTTTTTTTTTTTTGTCATGCATCAATGACCTAACATAGCCACTCCACGTTTGAAATCCATCCATTTTCTGATCCGCTTTATCCTCACAAGGGTCGCGGGGGGGTGCTGGAGCCTATCCCAGCCATCTTCGGGCAGTAGGCGGGGGACACCCTGAACCGGTTGCCAGCCAATCGCAGGGCACACAGAGACGAACAACCATCCGCGCTCACACTCACACCGAGGGACAATTTTGAGTTTTCAATCAGCCTGACATGCATGTTTTTAAAATGTGGGAGGAAACCGGAGTACCCAGAGAAAACCCACGCAAGCCCGGGGAGAACATGCAAACTCCACACAGGGAGGCTGGAATTGAACCCGGTACTTCTGCACTGTGCGGTCAGTACTCTAACCACTGGCCCACCAAGCTGCCGAATTTCAAATCAATACATGTTTTTCTTGTGATCTGCATGGTTCTTTCAC